CAAATCATCCATTCCCGATACTTTTTTGAGTGAATGTAGGTATATGCGCATCACAAAGTACCTATTTATTTAGTTCTGAAAATAAAAATAGAATAAGATCATTATAAATGAAAATACCCGCCTATTGGGTTTTTTCCCACATAAAAACCGGGTTTTTTCCCAAATGGGAAATAACCTGGGTTTTTCCCTTTGGGTTTTTTCCCAGTGCCCATCTCTATGTTAGTTACACGTTACACCACTTATAACTCAAGAAAGGCAGAATAGATTTGGCTGAAAATTGGTAGGGAGGTAGCTTAGAGCCAGGAAACCGACATAGGATGCTTTTTAACCAATACTTATTTTTTACTTTTTACCGAAAATCACGAACGGGGACGGGAAAAATGGGATTACGCGTACGAAGTCGCGGGCAGAAGCTAGTTTTTATTAAAAGATACAGTGAAAGCCAAATTGTCGTAAGGCTCAGAATCTCTTGTAAAGAGGGTCTCTACACCTTTCGTAGACAGCAAGAAAATGGTTTTTTTACTTTATGATTTGTACCTTCTACCTACAATTTGAATACTAATGTTAATAACAATGAATGTGTACCTACTTATCTAAAAATGTTGCAATGTCTGCAAAAGGCCGCTAAGTATTAGCCACTATAATAATTCTGTAACCATCATCTGTACACTTGGTTGCAATAAACGCTTTCACTTTGACAATTTTCTGCAGCTCAAAATATTCTGTGAGAAACACATCTCTATAAGAATGTTACAAAAAGCTTTCTGTATGTAAATACATACCATACATACCAACTACGTATCAAAAAACCAAAATTAACTATTCAACATAAGAAAATAGATAACAAAAGGCAAATGAACATAAAAGTGACAAAAGATCAATGTAAAAAAATATTTTTGGAGTGAGAAATCCAAGTATCCGATCTTCTAGTGTGTTGTACAGTGTTTCTCAGTCATAATTATAACTACTTCCAAACTTATGAACGGCAGTGTATCATAGTGAGTGTTAGTTATAGTGAACGAGTAGTCACCCGCGGAGCGCCGGCCGCGGCCTTGAAGTGCAGGGCCGGCGGTGCGTGCGTCACTTCGCCAAACGACACTCGCTCGTACACCACTTCCTGGCGCTCGTTGCTTGCCTGCAAAATAATACTGTACTCAGTGTAAGCCCAAATTCTATTGAAACATTTATTTTCTTTGGGACCTATACTGTGAGCACCCACACCCTTATTTTATACTGTGTGGCGCAGACATTGCTTATCAAACTGAACAACAATGTAGGAAAGCGTGTCCCCAAAATGTTTTCTGTAACTCAAAATATTAACTATTTCTTTATTTTCATATTAAACTTAAAAACTTGTCTATTTGCGGAGTCTTCGAAATGCGTCGAAAATTCGCACCCGACAGAAGAAAGTATATAAGACGATTTCTTTTCCGGCTCGACCGGAGTGATACCACGGCCTCACGGAAAACCTACGTGAAGTAACGTTTGCGTTGTGTTTCGTCGTGTGAGTGAGGTTACCGGAGGCCCAATTACTCTCCCCTTCCCCAATATCCCCAATTCCTAAATCCCCAAAAGGCCAGTAACGCACTTATAACGCCTCTGGTGTTCCAGGTGTCCATGGGCGACGCCGGTTGCTTACTATCAGGTGATCCGTCTGCTCGTTTACCGGCTTATGCCATAAAAAAAGCCGTTGCGCGAAGACGGTCTCTAATTGGGATGACGCCAACTTGGCGAAGTTCAACGTTAGCAAAACCTAGGCCTGTCTGTTCTCCGTCATACGGAATCAATTTCAGCTGACTCCTACTAATCGGAATGTATCCTTTCCGATAACGGATAATTTTGAGCTTCTTGGCGTAATTCTGACGCCCACACTCAACTTTGACGCCTACACAAGTCAAATGCGCAACTGGCTGGTAGGAAGTTGGGTATCCTATGGAGGGTGAACGGTACTTCACGCCGAAACAATTGCTCAACCTGTATCAAACACGGGTTCGGTCCTGTATAGAGTACTGTTTTCATCTTTAGGCGGCTCGGCTGAATACCAGCTGGATTCGCTAGAACACATCGATAGGCGTGCCAAGAGGGTCATCAACGATAATGCGCTTGTGGAGGCCCGGCTTCAAAGCCTCGAAAGAAGGCGTAAGGTTTGCGCCTGTCAGTTTTTACCGGATACATTTGTGGGAGGGTGTAGGGGGAATTTTTCTCTGATCCTTTCTATTATGACACCACAAGACATCATGAAGCATCACCGATTCGGTGGATATCACACCCACTCGCACGAACCGCTTCGCTCCAAGCTTCCTTGTGCGTACTGCTAAGGAGTGATATTCTTTGCCAGAGTGTGCACGTCGAGTCGTTTTTTTTTTTTAAGGGGGGAAAATCATCGAATGACTGCTCCCGCCTGGGTGAGGCGGAAGGGAGTGTCAGACTCTTACGTACTAAAAACCACCCCGTTCCTTCTCCTGCACGTCGAACCGGAGCCCCGGTTACCCGTTAGGTTCTCCGCGACTCCAAATCGGCATCGGCCCTATTGGGCCCCATCTGTGGTGGTCTGATGGCTCTTTGAGGCGCGCGCGGAACGCGACGCGCCGTACGCTCGGGTCTGTTTCTGGTCGGACGGGGAGCCACCCATGCTCGCCGTCCGCAGGC